TCCCCGATAGGGGGTGTGTAGGAGGCAGCTGATTGATGTTTCTCTCTCATCGATGTTTCTAACTCTCTATCCCTCTCTCTTCCTCTCTGTAAAAAGTCAATAAAATATATATTTTTTTAAATGTCATGTGCCTCCCCAGCCCTGAATTTGGAATATGGCTTCCTAGTGGCCCATAGTTTGTCCTATGATGACCTCTACCTGCCCAGAGGCTTAATTTCTTTGACTTATATGTTAAATAGGGTAGGGTTTCTTTCCCAAATAATAATTTTGTATAAATTAAATTAAATTAAATTAAATTAAATTTGCTTTTTCAAACAAATCCCTTCTCCCATTCTAAAGTGGCCACCCTTCACCTTTGACGGTACTGCCCCAAAGCCAATTCCGTTCCTTCCTTTCTGACTTACCTCCTCTGTTTATTCACCCTCTAAATAATCTCAGTGGTTGGCAAACTGTGGCTCACCGTTTGTTACTCTGTTGACTAATGAGTTTGCCAACCACTGCCTTAGGGAAAAACACTTAAAAATGTATTTAAGTCTTTAACCTGAAGTCAAGACTTCTGGGTAAGGGTAATGCCTTACAACTCATTAGTCAACAGAGCGGCAAACCACAGTTCGAGAAGCCGCAGTTTGCCAACCACCGAGAGATCATCTGAAACAGAGACTATGCTAGTAAACACTTGACAATGTGATCTGGTGATTTGAACTCTGAGCTGATGCTTGCCAGTAACTATATGTAAGCCATCTAACTTACTTCACTAAGTCTTGGTAAAAATATGGTCACACGCTTTTCTTTTTTCAATTAATTTTTGCCCCCTCTTCTCGAATTATCAGGAAGTCCAGTATCTCCTTTTCAAGGCCCCTCCATCCTAATTGTCTAAGAACTCTGAAAGTGTCCTCAGTTCAAAGGGGGCCAAAAAGATAGCTGACACTGAGGCATCTGCCAATCCTGTTGCTTCTTGCTGCCACTGGTGTCACTTTGGAAGACAGGTCCCGTACTGTTCCGTGAAAACAGAGCCTGCCTCACCCAGCTGTGGTACAAAGGAAATTAGCTAATCTAGTTAAAGTGCTTAGCATAGAAAAGGACAGGCGTGACGCTAAGCAGGCACTCACAGGTTTAGCTGTTATGTTATCGGGCCCCAGTTTTATGCCTACCCTAGAGGATCTCTGAAACCTTCCCAGCTCTGGCAAATGGTGAGGACTAGATGGGGGTCTGGGGGCCCTGCTGGCTGGTGTAGCGCCTGGAGGCCCGGATGGACCTCTCTGAAGCCTCTGGCTATCCTAATCCCATTGTCCCGAGAACCTGAGCCGTATAGAATTCCTTGTAAGTGATTTGTTCTGGCTCAGAGAAGGAGAAGTTCTAGGGTGTTCAGACTAAAAATATACTGCATCAGCTCACAGGGCTGCTTGATGGTAGCAGGTCTTAACCAAGGTCTTTGTGAATACAGACCTTGACTTTCAACCCAGGAAGGTGGTGTTATGGAGAGTAAGGCTGTGGCGCATTTATTTTTGCATTCTCCCCATTCCAAGTACAGTGCCTTGAACATAACAAGAAACACTCCTTCATGTCAAGTGCTGCTAAAGATGCTCAGGTGCTGACCTAACCGGTTTGGCTCAGTGGATAGAGCATCGGCCTGCAGACAGAAGGGTCCCAGGTTCGATTCCGGTCAGGGGCATGTACCTTGGTTGTGGGCACATCCCCAGTGGGGAGTGTGCAGAAGGCAGCTGATCGATATTTCTCTCTCATCGATGTTTCTATCATTCTACCTTCCTCTCTGTAAAAAAATAATTAAAAATATTTAAAAGCACACATGTACATGTGCACACATTCACATACAAGCACACTCTTATGAACTCTGCCTTCCATCTCTTTGCTTCTCCCTTTTTCCTACTTTGAGGCCACAATAATTAAGACCAGAATGCACTGTGCATATAAATCTTTTCTTCATCTTTGAGTACTATTGTTGCTTTACAACTTTCTTTAGCTCTGCTTTAATTACCACATTTCACACCCACTGGAATACACCTTTCTTGGAAAATGACAACACCTTATCTCTTTAATGAGCTTTGAGACTAGCACATAAAATATCCCAAAATAATAATTTATTTTAGTCCATATGGAAACAATTCACTGTCCACATATATTAAAGGCGAATAAATCATTAATGTAAGAATCCCATTTGCTAACCCATTTACCTATTTGGGCTGTGTCCTAGAAGTTCATAGTCAATTTGTTTGTTTTTATAGGGAACCACCTTATCTATTATTATGTCATAATATAAAGTATTATAAATTATCCTATCAATTAAAGAGGAATATTGCAAATTGACCATCACACTGTCACAAAGATGGTGGCACCCATGCCCCTTAGCCCCGCCAGAGTCCCTCAGTCCTTTCAACCCCATGGGGGCGGGGGGGGGGAGGGTGGCAGGTGCACGCTGAAGGTGCCCCATCCTCAGCCCCCCAGCCACCCAGGGCTGGCCTGAGGCACAGGCAAGCCTCAGATGGCAGCTTCCCAGCTGCCCAGGGCCACTCAAGGCTCAGGTAACCAGGGCCCATCGAGGCTTGCACTGCCGGCAGTGGCAGCAGCAGAGGTGTGATGAGGGTGTCACCTTTCCCTGATCATCGGGTCGCCTCCCACCCCTGAGGGAGAGGGGACAGGCCGGGCTGAGGACTCCCCTCTAGTGCATGGATTTTCATGCACTGGGCCTCTAGGTATATATAAGAATAAGTACTAATAGCAGTAATAATAATTGCCACAATTTATTGAGTACCAGGTACTTGACATAATTTATCTCTATTTTCTGCATCAACCTGCAAAATTGGTATCCATTTTATAGATGAAACTGAGATTCAACTAAGCAAATGAACTTTTTAAGAGCACACAAGGTCAAATACGTACATTTCTGGCCCCAACAACAGCGCCTGCTAAAGGGGCAATGGCAGGCAGCCCATGACCTCCCTCACCACTCCTCCTCCCCTCATCAGCCACAGATGGTGGGCACCTGATTCAATGCAGGCTAGTTCTGTTTGTGGCCTGTTCTGAATTCATGAACTTAGCCAGTCTGATTCTCCCTTAGGAATGCGAATTGGGAAATAAGGAAAGAAGCAGTACGTTGATAGGAGCAGGAGCTGGGGCAGAAAGGCTCAATCAGAAGCTGCCAAATGAGTGTTGGGAAGGAAGGTTGAGGGGCCATGATGGGCCCCATTTAAAACGAAGTTTATATGGGGGTAGATGGCAAGCAGAGACTTGAACATAATGGGAGGATATAGGGCGAATGGATGAGGGAAAGAATCACATGCCAGGTTGGCGCACAGCTCTCTGGGACCAGGTGCTGCCCCTACCCTCGCTGCACCGTTTCTCTGCCAGGGGAGCCTTCCAAGAGTCCTTCATCTCTTGTGCTAACTTCAGTGGGTGTCGGTTTCTTTCAACCAAGAGAGCCAGATTAGAATACACAGCCTGTAAGTGCCAGAAAGGGGATTTCAACCCCAGCTTTGTGGCCATGGAGCCCCTGCTCTGGTCACGGTACCTCTTTGGCATGTTATTATACAAATGCTCTGACCCACTATGGCCCACGTGTTCGCCTTCATGTATCTGAAAAAGAACTAGGAACAAACTAAGGTTTCCTGAGTCCATGTCCCAAATCTCGGTCTGCTTTCAGAGCCCTGAACGGGAGGGTGGGGGTTAAGAGTCTCAGGCAATTGGGAGGTCTCCGAGCAACTCCGGGGCAGGATTCCAGTTGCCAGGGTGGAAGGTGCTACAATGGGGCGGAGGAATGGGAACAGGGCAGGATGGGTTCTTGGCAGTACAGAGAACAGGGACTCCTCCAACACGGCGACTGGTCTCATCCCTGTTTGTATCCCCAGTTCTAAGACAGCGCTCGGCATTATCTTTGAATGAGCATGCGAATAAATGAATGAACGAGCGCATGAAGCAATGAATGGCAGAAGTGGGTCACAGTCCCTCTTCCGATGCACGGCTTGTGATTCAGTAGAGCCTTATCAGGGCGAGGAGCACCTGTGCCTATCTCTAAGAAACATTCTATGCAACAACACGGGTAATATTTACAGAGACTCCGGCTTTAAAAATAGCAGAGCAGGTGTAGCGAGGACCACGATAATGACACGGTTCGGAGACTGCAAATAGACGGCCCTGGATGGCATTCGCCCTGTTTACCAGAACACCCCTCGCTTTGTCTCCCTCTGTCTGGAGAGAGTGAGGTTTTCATTTTAAGGAGCTGACTAAAAAATGCAGAGCCACTTCCTGGGCAGGCATCCAAGTGACTACATCTCTCTCACAGCGCTCCCCAGAGCCTTCGCCCCAGCTGCCTGGGGCGGGGCCTCCAGCCGTTGGTGGCCGTTGGAGCCACCAAAGGAGTAATTTATCTGCAGCCCGCCAGAAATGCTGTGCTTTCAGGCCCTCCCAGGGAACAGATAACGTCTTTGGCCTTTGCAGGGAGGCGACGCCAGAGTTCGTGATTGGCCAGGCTGGTGTGTGCGAAACACAGATGTCTGCCACACTCCTGAGTATGGCATTCCTCCCAGCTGAGTACCCCAGGGTGTGGGTAAGTCTGAATGCTGGTTGTGCAATGATCAGAGCCGAGCACTGGGACTTTCCTGGGGCATGACTTAGCATATTTCTCAATGCTGCTGAGCCTCAGTTTCCTTTTCTGGGAAATGGAGATGGTGTTTCCTTTGCTGTAGAAGGAAAGAAGGATCTAGCCACCGCAGGCTGGTTGTTGCGAGGCCTGAAGAATTAGCATATGCAGAGCACCTCATCTGCTACCTGGCAGATGGCACACACTGGAGAGTTATTATTTCTGAGGCAGCGACAGTGTCCCTGCTTTTATTTCTAACGGTACCGTATTTCTCGGAAAGACTCCGCTGATGTATTCTACTTCTTGATCATACCTGGATAGCCAACATAAATAGAAGACTTCCGCTGAAGTGAGTGTCCAAAGAAAGTTTATTAGACTGTCTTCCGTTTCTCTCTTTCCCTTTTAGACTCTGACCGCTCCTGCCCCATTTGCAGACGAAGTCAGCTGCCAGTGCCAAGCACCCCATGAGAAACTGACCATTGCCCAGGCCCGCCTCGGGACACCAGGTGAGGCTGTGCTTCTTCTCCCCGGGGGTCTGTCTGGCCATCCAAAGGAGCAGGAAGGCCCGCCATGATGTGAGCGGCACTTGCTTTCAGAGTTGAACTCAGAGACGGTGGCACAGCACAGGGATCACCAGTGACAAACTCAACCAATCAGAGTATCCAAGGGGGGAAAAAAGACAGTGAGATGCTGTGCGAGCCTCAGCTCTACCGTCTGTTGGTCCCTCCAGCCTGGGCGAGTCACGGGAATGATTGGAATGGTTTCCTCATGGGGAGCAGGGACAAGGATACCCACTTCCCAAGGTTTTTGTGACAACGAGGCTCGGTTAAAAATACCAAAGCAAATAGGGGGAGGAGGACAAATATGTAATACCTTACTCAATAAAGGAATTAAAAAAATAAAAATAAAAACCCCAATGCATGTTTTAAACTGTGAAGTTTAAACAAACCTAAGCTACCGTAATTATTACCATTTTAAAATATATATATTTTACTGATTTTTTTTACAGAGAGGAAAGGAGAAAGATAGTTAGAAACATAGATGAGAGAGAAACATCGACCAGCTGCCTCCTGCACACCCCCTACTGGGAATGTGCCTGCAACCAAGGTACATGCCCTTGACCAGAATCGAACTTGGGACCCTTTAGTCTGAAGGCCAATGCTCTATCCATTGAGCTAAACCGGTTTCTGCTATTACCATTTATATATATATTTTTTAAATTGATTTTTTACAGAGAGGAAGGGAGAGGGATAGAGAGCAAAAACGTCGATGAGATAGAAACATCGACCAGCTGCCTCTTGCACACCCCCTACTGGGGATGTGCCTGCAACCAAGGTACATGCCCTTGACCGGAATCGAACCTGGGACCTTTCAGTCCGCAGACCAACGCTCTACCACTGAGCCAAACCGGTTTCAGCTATTACCATTTTTTAAAGAAGTCCGCATTTTAAAGAAGTTTCTCCAAGTGTGCCTTAAATGAGAGAGCCTATGCCTTAAACTGCTCAAGGACTTTGTTCACTCCTTTAGTATATACCAGAGCTGCACAGGGAAAAGGTTGAAAAAGAACTCTAAGGTACTGTCTCTATTTCCTAAGAACTTTATTATACAGTATACTAGAGGCCTGGGTGCACGAATTCATGTGTGGGGTTGCTCGGCCTGGCCAGCAATCAGGGCCGATCGGGGCCATCTTGCCCATTCCCAAGGGCCACCCAGCCGGGGGGAGGTATTGCAGGAGGTTGGACAGCCGTGGGAGGTTGGCTGTGGGAGTGCACTGACCACCAGGGGACAGCTCCTGCATTGAGCATCTGCCCCCTGGTGGTCAGTGCACATCATAGCAACCACTTTTTCAGTTGATCAGTCGTAAGGTCGCTTAGGCTTTATATATATAGATATTTGTGTTAATCCTCACCCGAGGATATTTTTCCTTTGATTTTTTTAGGGAGATTGAGGAAGAGAGGGGAAAGAGAGAGAAACATTGATGTGAAAGAAACACATCGATTGGTTACTCCCCACAAGCCCCAACCAGGGTCTGAGCCAGGGAGGAGCCTGCAACCAAGGCATGTGCCCTTGACCAGAATCGAACCCAGGACCCTTCAGTCTGCAGGCCAACACTCTACCCACTGAGCCAAACTAGCTAGGGCCTAGGAGCTTCATTATAAAGGGATAAGACAATCAGAAATAAAACCCACCAGTAGCATGTATGCATGTATTTAGGGTAGGAATTTTCAAGCAGCATATCATGGCACACTGGTGTGCTATAAATTTTTTAATACGTGTAGTACTTGACTATTGAGACAGGGGCACTGACCTCTTGTCTCTTATATTGTCAAATTAAAAATGACAACAGACAACAAAACAATAACTATCCAGTGTAAATGAATCAAAATTATACCTATTTTGAAATATATATATTTTATTGATTTTTTATAGAGAGGAATAGAGAGGGATAGAGAGTTAGAAACATCAATGAGAGAGAATCATTGATCAGCTGCCTCTTGTACACCCACTACGGGGGATGTCCCTGCAACCAAGGTACATGCCCTTGACCGGAATCGAACCTGGGACCTTTCAGTCCACAGGCCGATGCTCTATCCACTGAGCCAAACCGGTTTCAGCTATACTTTTTTTTTTTTTTTTTTGTCAGATTGGCAAACAATATATTTTTTGGTATGCCGCAGAATTACAATAATTACTTTCTGTGTGCCATGAGATGAAAAAGGTTGAAAATTGATTTCTTAGAGGTTAAAGCCTGCAACACAGATGAAAATGGACAGTTTTAAGAAAGGCAGATTAGCCCGGCTAGTGTGGCTCAGTGGTTGGGTGTCAATCTATGAACCAGGAGGTCACGGTTGATTCCTGGTCAGGGTACATTCCCGGGTTTTGAGCTCAATCTCCAGTAGAGGGCATGTAGGAGGCAGCCTATCAATGAGTCTCTCTCATCATTGATATTTCTATTTCTCTCTCCCTTCCTCTCTGAAATCAATATATATATATATGAAAGGCAGATTCATTTGACCTGGAGCAGTCAGGAACCCACCTCAGCTGATCTTTTGGGGGAAAGTTAAGATTTGGACAATGTGGGCAGGGAATGGAAGGGCATTCTGGGCCAGTGGAACAGGAACAGTGAAGATATGGAGGTAGAGAGCCGTGTAGCAGGAAATGAATGGCATTCCATTTGGTTGGGATGGAGCGGCAATCAGACTAGTTACCAGTTAAGCTTTGAGCATTGTACGATAGCTCAGAAACAAAATCCCAAGTTGAATAGAATCCATGGGATAAAGGACAGTTTTCTTCATCATAATAACAATAGATGTTTATTGTTTACTTAGTTCTTTATATGTATTGTGTCATGTCATTGTCACAACTTGACGTGGTTAGTACTCTCAGTATTTCACAGATGAGGATATGATGGTTTTAGAAAGCTGTGAATCTGCACAGGGTTATTCAGGGAGTCAAGTGGCAGTGCTTCTCACACTTGAACTTGCATCAGCATCATCTGGAGGGCTTGTTAGAACAGATAGCTGGGCTTTACCCCCATGTTTCTGATTCAGTCCAACTGGGGTGTGGCCTAAAAACTTGCCTGGCTAACAAGTTCCCAGGTGATCTGATGCTGAGGGACCACAGGTTGGTAAATAGTGATGTTGGGATTTGACCTGAAACCTTTTTGTGTTCCAGCTTGATCTCTCAGCCATGCCAATCTGCCTTAGCAGGTTCTCAGATAACGTTGCTTTGCTCCATGTTGTTTTGTTATAGCATTGATGAGGTGCCACAGGAACCTAACTCTTGTTTATATCCATTAGCCTATGGTAAAATCGGTTTCATTGTGCGTCGTTGCACTTAAAGTCACAGAACCTATTGATGATAAGTGAGGACTTACTGTAGCTTGGAGAGAGTGAAGTGAGGAGGAGAGCAGGCCAAGTTATATAATTTATAAACTTTATAATTGCCCTCTACTTAAAGCCGGCAATATTATTTTCAATAAATGGTAATGATGGATGTTAGCTTTTAAAATACATTAAAGTTTTTAAAAGAGTCCATTAAAGAAAAGTTAAATAAATTGTAGTGCCAGAGGCACACAAATGAAGCAAAATTCATTAAGGTAGATTTTGAGGAAAGAATTTGGAAACTCTACACACTGTGGAAACAGAATAATATAAATCCCAAACTCATTAGTCAACAGAGTCAAATATCAACAATACAACAATTGAAATCTCTTTTGAGGGCCAACTTTTTTAAACTTAAACTTCTTCTAACACCACTTCTTCAAAGGAGACTCACCCAGACCATGGTATTCTGTGGAAGAGCCACACTCAAGGGGCCAAAGAGCAGCATGTGGCTTGCGAGCCGCAGTTTGCCGACCGCGGGGTTAGGGCACATTTTGTCTTTTTGATGGACTGCTCAAGAAAGTACCACAAAGGGTAATTGCTTACGAAAAAAGTAGTCCAACAGCAAGACTTGAAAAAGAAAAAAGCTGAGCTTTTGTAGTGACAGCACAATGCTGCAACACATATTTAGGATGCTCTCCCTGTCACTCCCTCCAGCCACTATCAACAGTTATTCCAAAGCAGAGGCCTTGCCATGTGGTCCCAGGACAGAAAGCAGCAGCATCAGTTGGAAACTTGTTAGGAATGCAAATGCTTGCTCCTCACCCCAGACCTACCTCATCATAAACTGTGAAGGTGGACCCCAGAAGACACTTAACAAGCTTTTCAGGGGGTTCGGTACATTGAAATGTGAGGATCACTGCTCTAATAAAGCAATGGTTATCACCGTGAGGTCTGAGACTTACACGTGCATTTGAGAAGTAACTTTATAATTGTCTGGTAATAGTTATCTGGCTTCCCAGTTTGGCTGAGTAGGAAGTGGTGGAAATGAGGGTCTATGTCTTTAAGAAGCCCGCTCCCACTCGGCTGCCACTCAATTGCCGCCATGGGTCTGGCCATCATCCCGTTCATAGTGGTAGACTCAGAACCCTTCTCGCCCTGTGGGGGTGGACTCCGCTTCTGAGCACTCTGCTCTTGGGTTCTTTTCGGAAGGGACTTAGAGCCTCTGAAGAGCCTGATGACACTCTCTTATGAAATGAGGATAGTAAACCCACTCTTCCTTACCTCTCTCTCAGAGTTGATGTGAAGATCAAGCGAAATATATGGGCTTTGCAAATCATACATACTTTTAACGCATTACTTAAATGTAAGTTGCTAATAGTCATTATAAAAAAAGGAATCGTCACACCTTTGTTGTTGCCTGAATCTGAAGTAATACCAAGAAACATTATAGCACACCCCACAGAATGGTGAATTTAGATATGGTAATGCAGTTGGTGAGTGCCTTCTGTCTGGCCATATGGTAGGTAAATGCTTAATTTTTTAACCAACTTTCAAACGGCTTTCCAAAAACAATTGTATCATTTTACATTTTCACCAGCAATGTATAAGAGTTCCAGTTGCTCTATATATTCACTAATACTTGGTAGGTATGATCAAGTTTTTTAAAAATGATATTGAGC